AGTGGTAATGGAGACCAACACATCCCAGATCCCTTACTCTCTCCCCTCACTAATGCTCCCCACCTAGCCAAACTCAAACTGACACCCTCTTCTCGCCACATCTCACCACTGCCTTTGTTCATGCACCCACCTGCCTCTGTCTTTCTTCTTTTTCTTCTTCTTCTGTTTTGGGGACGGTGAGCGGGAGCTGCTAGACTCTTTAACAAGACTGGGAAATCACAGAGAAATGGTGAAAAACCAACTCCCAAACAGGCTCCAAAATAACGGCTCTCCCTCCCTTCCTTCCTTCTTTCCTCTCCCATTCCTCCCAACAAATCCCCAAGCAGGCAACTAGACTGCCAAATAAAAATTCTCAAGTTTAGGGGTATTAGCATGCACATCACAAAAGGTATATTAGGGAGTCCCAGTACCGTTAACAACCCTTACAAAAATTATGTCAAAACTACAGCCAGTTAATCAAGCAAAGAGATCAATAACTCATGTCAAAATACAAATCAGATTTTTAAAATACATATATATTTAATAAAGGCATCATCTGATGTAATCTTACCCCAAGGCAAGGCTTGTATTATATAGTACAGTGAACTGAAATAATACCTATTTCTTAAACAAAAAAAATACAATAAATTGTTTCCCAATCCATTTAAAGTAACAAGAGCTCAACTGAGGTAGGCACAACCATGTCTACCTCCCCAACTTCTACCTTTCCTTTCCTCAGCAAGGATGCCCACATACCTGTACTGCTTTTGCTGTTCCTGCTGCTGCTTAGCTGCTGCAGCAGCAGCAGCAGCGGTTGCTGCCTCCTTAGCCCTGCGGTTGGGGTCAAAGGAGCTGCCATCCACATAGTTGTCACTAATTCCAAAGGCAGCTCTAAGCCTCTCGTTCTTCTTTTCATTGGCCTCAGCCAGCTGATGGGTCTCTGTGACACTGGAGAAGAACAGAAATAGTTACTACAGGGGGGAAACTAGAGGTTATGAGGCAAGCCCAAGGTAAGTATGGGAAGAGCAACAAGCCCCACAAGGAATGGAAAGGAGGTGGGGCTTAATGAATCAGTCAGCTCATCAGAATCAAAATCCACCAAGGACTTACGTCGGCTTCTGCTGCTGTTCCCCCTCCTTGACCACTGCTACATCCTTCTCCAAAAGCATCATCCGAAAAGTGGCTACCTTTTCCTGGATCTCCCCTTCTCCATATCTGGGTTGAGAAAGCCAGAAAATATTTTACAAGGCTTACCAGATGGGTCCCATAAACAAGGTAACCAGTCTCTAATGAGGTAGTAGGCAGTGCTGCTAAGTGACGTGAATCGTAACAGATTCAAAACACTGACTACTTCTATCTAACACAGCATAGTACTTATGACTTAAATGTAAACCAAACACTTACGCACATCCCCCTCCCCGCCACACACATCATGACCTAGCTAAGTGTCTTTCTATGAACCACTATTCTCTCAGCCTCAGCCTCCCTGAGATCTGCAATTTAGAGATAATATTACAAACATCTCTGCATCGGAGAATCATCATTATCAATAAAGCATTTGACTAGAACTTCAAAGTATTTTATAAAAAGCTAAGCAAAGTTGTTACTCCCCCCAAAAGGAATAATTTTCTACTACAAATGAAAATGTCATCTTCACTCCTGGAATCCAGCAAAACAAAATCAACAAATTTAACTCTTCTTGCAATACACATAAAATTGACTGAACACCTACTAAATGTGAAGTAACTTCACTCTGCTTGTTTTTCCTATAAATAAGTTAACACTACATATATTATATCTGAAGCTTTTTGAAAGCATTTCTGAACAATTCCCACTGAAACCAGCAGACAGCAAGCAGCCAGTGCCACAACACATATGTACACCTAGCATGTATGTATGACATGATTTCCCATATTTTCAACTCCTTGAGGCAGCTAAAAATTACTGAGGTCCTCCCATCACAAAAAGGTTATATATATAGGCAGTTTGGTACTATCAGCAGGCAATTACCGACATCTAATCCATATTTAGAAATTACTAAATTCTTTGCCAAAGCATTTTCCTGGCAACAATGAGGTCCATGGTTTAACTTTCTTCAAGCATAGTAGGCATTTACTCAGGAGGTACTAAAACCCAGCCCCCCTATTGACTAATCCAGAGAATTGACAGATCCAGAGGCTCACTTTAAGTAGAGAAGGCTTTTTCCCCACTCCCACTCACCTCTCCTAAGTATTTTTACCCATTTCATGTAAATTCTTCTCCCATTCACCTTTCATGCTCAACTCGTACTTCATTCCCCCACCCTACCCTACCATCAGGCCCGGTCCTTGAACACGTTCACTTATTCTTCCCATTTCTGTTTTCCTCTTCTCTACTCCTAGTCTATTTATACCTGTATTATTAATCATAGATACATAAAATTATGTACATAAAATACATAAAATACATAAAATTATGTAACTTTCCAATTTCCTTCAATACCTACTCTCACCCTTTGCCCTTAGAGGAAGGACAGCTTTTCCTTCCTCATCCCTACATCCTAACTTTGTCTACCTTCCATCACTGCTGTGCTAACAGATCAGAGTAATTGGTAAGCTACCAAGACCAAGGTTGCCAACAAATGAAGGCAGAAATCCCAGGTGCAATGTCCACATACCCCACATCCCATACCCCCACCTTCCCATACCCCACCTTCTTCCACAATTGCTATCAGCCTTATTCATTCAACAGCTGCCACTATCTCCATGCTTATTTTTCAGCACCCATTGTTACATTCCAAATATCTCTGCTTCCCTATTGCCTGCTACAACCTACCCCTGCTCTTCCATGAGTTCAGCCAACTCTAAGCATTTCAGCTCAACCTTCCGCTTGCGCTCGTGGTCCAGGATGTCCTGGTTGGGTTTTTTAACCAGGGATGACTCCAGCTTCCTCAACTCCTCTTCTGACTTGTAGTCAGTGCGATCTTTCTTGTGGCGCACGGCCGAGAGGTTGCGCTGCACGTAACCGTTGGTGCCGCTGCCCCGGGGAGTGGGGAGTCCTATCCCATTGTACATGGCGCTCACAGGCTAGCACCAACGGTGCCTCTAATGCCTACAGGGGGGAAAAGAGGATGTATGGCTAGAAGCAGAGGCAAAAGAGCAACTGGCAGCTTCTGCCAACATTTTCCAAGTACCAGGAAGGACCCATGCCTCTTCACAATCAAGACTGAAAATATAAATGCACAGAAGAAATCCACAGAACTCATGCAGTGCAACATGCTTCCCACAAATTCCAACCTGAATCTAGTGCCAAACACCCCCTCACACACACTTTCCTTTCTTCTTACTTTGCCCCATTAATGTTATCTATGCATCTTCAAATTTACTCCTTATCAAAGTCTCCCTTATTGCATTGCAGGCTTCCCTTCCTCTCATCTTCAAATTCTATCTGATCCCCCAGAGAACTGTCTCACCTACAGCCTCTTACCTACATTTTTCCTGTTCAACACTTTTCCCTTTATGAACCTCTCAGAAACCTGATTTTTTTCCTCCACCTGCTTTCAGAATTTGCTTAAATTTACTCATCCCATCCCCTAGAGAGCAGAGATGATCACAAAACCCTGGAGTCTTAACTTCTACTCTACTGAGCCCCTCTTCCTATTTTTACATTTTACACAAATAGGACCCTATCCTTTGTCCCCAACCCCACCAGTTTCAAGCCCCCAGCTAAGGCTACAATCCTGTTCATTATTATCTGGGAGCTCAGTCGGACTTACCTCTGAGCAAAAAAACCCAAACAAACCGCACACGATTGCCCTGCACTCGCCTCCTCCCTCACTGTCCCACTTGATCCTCTTTCATAAACGGCTGAAATGCCAGCCCGATATTTTCCCAATCTGGCTCCAACCACCCCATTCACCTCCTTCTTTGAAGGACTGAACCACCCCCTCCCAATCTTGTTATAACCTCCCTAGTCCCTATGAGGTTTCTAACCGGCTTAAAGGCCTGCGCCCCCCACCACATGCACCCACAACCTGGCTACGAGCAATCCATTCCTACATTCCCCCCCCCCAAAGGCCTGGACAGCCATCTCTGTAGCAGTTTCAAGCCCCACCCCTGCCTCTACCCCTTACTAGGCCTTTCCTCCCTCCCCAGGAATATATATATACACACACACACACAGCCCTACCTATTAGGCCGATTCACCTCAAGGCCTGATGGAGCCGTTCGAGACCTCCCTCTGCCCGCACCCCAGCACTCAACCCAACACCCGCCCACGCATGCACCGCGTCCGTGACGCGCGCCCCCTGCCCAAACCCTCTCCTCCCTCCCCCTGCGCGACTCCCGAGACCGGGCCGCCCCGGAGTAGGCCTCTCACCCGCCTCCCTCGCGCTGCCCAGGGAGGCCGCTCTCTCTGCCTGCGCCACTCGCTCGCTCGCGCTCCCTCACCCGACGCAGCAGCAGCAGCCGCGGCGCAGGCGAAGGGTGAAGGGAGGAGGGGGAAAGGAGGAGGAGAGGCGGAACCGCCCCCCTTCCCGTCCAATTCGCTCCCGTCTGTCCCTCTCCTCGCCCGCGGGGTTATGGGAAACGTAGTCCTTTCCTTCGCGATCAAGACCCCAACGCCAAGGGCCCGAGGCATGGAAAAGACTACAACTCCCGGCATGTAACGCAAGCAGCGCGAAGGTCGGACGCCATTTTCTAAAGCGCTCTGGGGAGAGGGATAGAGATGGGGGGGAGAGTGTTTCAGGAAGACTTTGCCCCTGCGGGTGGTTTTGCCTTTCGCTCTCTCACCCTCACTTTTTTTTCCCCTCTCTCTCGTACAGCAGTCACATCGATGCGCGACGCACTTCGGAAGGCACCGCTAGTGGTGCGTGAGGGAGCGGGGACAGGACGAGACGAGACGGAACCGTCCCTCCCGTCAGCCACCGCGCGTTCCCAAATTAGAGAGGAGAGGGGAGGAATCCGGAGTAGAAAGCCAAATCTCGCGAGATTTCATTTGGAAAAACCGCGTTGCGTCTATCGCGACGCAAAATGTTGCGTGCCTTCGAAGCATGCCGGGAACTGTAGTTCAGCTGCTCCCATTGCACCATAGCACTCGCACACACTTCTCCTACAAGCGAGACAACAACTTCCAGAATGAATTGCGAGCTGATGTTGCTGCATTTTCTTTCCCGTTTCCCCTCACAGAGGAAAGAACGGGGGATTTTATTCCTAGAGGGACTTTCCATAAAGCCCAAAGGGAAAGTTTGGCTGGGAGTGGAGTGTATCTTCCGTTGCGCTGCAGAGGGTGGATTTTGGGGAAAGATAAGGTAGCAATATCTCATCATCAATGCAGCCTTCTGCCATTTTGTCAGCCCTGATATGTTCTCAGCTTCGCAGCGTGGCGAGCAGGGTTTAATTCTCAAGAGTCGCATTTACATTTTATTTTTATTTTTTAAGAAACTGCATTACCCAGAATGCACTGAATACGGACCCTAAACCTTCTGGGAAATGTAGTTTTTACCAATTAAATCACTGCCAAATTTGCATATAAGCTAAACAAGCTATAGTTTAGGCCCCCACTCTTTTGGGGGCCCCAAAAAAAATTAAAGGGAGAAAAAAAGGATGTACATTTCCAAAATAGAAGATAAAAAATAAAATAAAAAAAAACCTACATACCTATTAGGTCCATAAGTTACCATATAGTATATATTCAACTCAAAAAACAGCAACAATTTGTTGTTGACAAAGGACAGTTGGACAAATAAGGACCCCATTACCTTCAGTAGCTTAGGGCCTCATCAAACCTAAATCCGGCCCTGAACTGAATATTCGTATTGGTTGCCTAGGGGTTAACCACCCAGCCCTCCACCTTTCATAGCTCTCAGAATAGCCCTAAGCCAGTGGTGGCAAAACTTGTTCCTCCAGCTGTTTTGGGACTACAATTCCCATCATCCCTGACCACTGGTCCTGTCAGCTAGGGATGATGGGGGTTGTAGTCCAAAAACAGCTGGAGGGCCAAGTTTGGCCACCACTGCCCTAAGCCAGGCTTCCTAAACCTCGGCCCTCCAGATGTTTTGGGCCTACAACTCCCATGATCCCTAGCTAGCAGGACCAGTGGTGAGGGGTAGTGGGAATTGTAGTCTCAAAACATCTGGAGGGCCAAGGTTGAGGAAGCCTGCCCTAAGCCATACATGGGAACTTCCAGCCCAGGAGCTTGCAAGGGTCACCAGAAACGGCCCAGCCAAATGAGACCGCAGCTGAGTTACAACCTCCCACCGACCCACCCAAACTTTATTAACTTATTTTTGTTTCTACTGTTCATCTTGACGCAGTTGTTCCTGAGGCGGTTTCCACGTGGTTTGACCTAGAAAGCTTTAAACAGCTCGGGACTGCAAGACCTCAAGGACCACCCTTCCCCATATTAACTGACCCGGACCCTGAAATCATCCTCTCAGGTCTTTCTTCACATGCCTCCTCCATGAGGGTGACAACACAAGAATGAGCCTTTTCTGCCATGGCTCCTGATGAGTGGAATGCTCTCCTCAGGGAGGTTCACCTGCCGCCTTCATTATACACCTTTAAGGGCTTTAGACGTTCCTCTTTAATTAGGCCTTTGACATCCAACGACCTTTTAAAATATATTAGGGTGGGGAATATTGGGTTGTTTCTATTTTTATTATGTCTTTTGTGATTTTATATTGTGATTTTATGTATACCTGCCAGTATATTATTCATCTCTACCCTGGACTGCTTAGGGCAAATGGGAATATTAGAATGTAAGAATATTGATGTAACATTATCTAGAGTCTCTGTAATAACCTAATGAACTCAATTCTGGAGCATAGGGCTACAAATACGAAAGCACGGCAGCCTTCCTCATTGCAAAATGTCTAGTAAACCTTTCACATCCGTTCTTGCCATATACCTGAGCGGGGAAGCAGATCAAGAGTTTGGAATGCATGGTGCATGAGGAAAAGCTGGAGCCACTGGCCATATTTGGCCAAGGAAGAGATGATTAAGACGATGACAGAAGCTTTCAGATATCTAAGAAGCTAAACAAGAAAAGGAATAACGTCAGTTTTCCAAGCCTAGCAACTAATTTCTGTGGGAAATTGTCGTAATGGAATCTCAGCTGGTATCACAAGCAAAAGTTTCATTTGCACGGCTATGGGATTTGTTGTTTTTAATGTTCCATAAAGACTCAGCCTTGTCCATTCATATTTTACTCTGATAGTCTGATTCTGTGCATGTTCACTCAAACATCAAACATTCTCACTGCTGTTGCAGTTTATAAGAATATTCTTCCTTTTTCCTTTGAAAACTGTGGTCCCAATATCCCCGAGAGGAAGGCTTCTAGTTCTTTTGTAAAAGTTTGTTTGAAGAAAAATTTATTTCTTTGTATATCATATCCCAGAATTTTTTAATTTTATTGCAGCCCCACCACATATGAATCATTGTCCCTTCAGCTTGTTTACACCTCCAGCATGTATTTGAGCATGTTCTGTACATCTTTGCTAACTTGCTGGGAGTTATATACCACCTGTAGAACTTTTCATATGATTTTTCCTAAGTGTATAACAGGCTGTGAATTTCCAATCTGTATTCTATAGTCTTTCCTATGCTGACATTGGTATATTTCCCCCCCAAATCAATTGCCCACTTAGTCCTGACTTCTTTGACTTCCTCGTCTTTAACCTCCCATTCAAGTAGGAGTTTGTACATTTTGGAGATTACTGTACTTTTGTCTTACTATACAGTATATTAATTCTTTTGCCAATTCTCACACCTGTATTTTTCTTTAGCTTGTGCGTAATACTGTGGGGTTTGTTGAGTTTGGAGCAGAGATGCTGTTGCACAGAAAAACTGGAATACCTCAATTGTGCAGCTCTTTTTGTTGTTGTTAAAGTGTTTTCTTGCAAGGAAGTCACACAACTGGTGTCTGTTGGTTTTGCTTTATTGAGAAAGAGCTTACAAGAGAATCTGGGGAACGGTGGGTAGCCCTGTACCATTTCACTAAACACGCCCTGCCCTACAATGAGGAATGTGGGGAATGTGATGCTTTTCATTAAAATGTGGGTGAAGAGTACAGGAGTGAAGCTCTCAAATCAAGTAGCTCTTGAAGTTTGAACAGCCCTTGTAAAAATGCCTTGCCATTGTTTGTGTGGACACAGCCACCAATCCTACAAAAAAGAAGCCCAAACCTTTGGCGTCGCCTCTTCAAGGTAAGTGTGCCCTATTGATACTGTTGACGTAAATATGTATTGCGTGGCTTCTCATGCCCTGCTTAACTCTCTCCCGTCTCTTTTCCTGTCATGACCACAGGAAGGAGCTATAGCTTCGCAACCCACAATAACACATCCTGCCTCCTGCCTGAACCACTGTTAAGAATCAGAAGGTATTCCTGTTACTCCTGTTTGCACAGAAATGGAATTATGGTTGGAAGACTGTCGCCACTTCACTGTCCACAACATGGAGACTGGGCACTGTTGGTCTTAAACCTCCAGAGGCATAAAATGCAAGACTCGCTATGTTTTCTCAGGCAGAAACCAGCCAGACTTTAAGAATTTATAGTCAGAGGCTATTGCACAATGTAGTGACAGTAAACGACAAAAGATGAATTCTTTTTTACCTCACACTCAGACTCAAAATTATAAAGCAACACAGGCTGCATACACACTCTACATTTAAAGCACATCACCTCCCCTCAAAGAATCCTGGGACCTGTAGTTCACTCCCTCAGAACTGCAATTCCCAGGACCTTTAAACTACATTTCCTGGTATTCTGGGGGAAGTCATGTGTGTTAAGTGCATTGTGCATATGCAGCCACAGAAGGGAATATCAACTCTATCGCTACAAATATTACGTTGGCCTGAAATCCTTTAAACTGTGTGGCCATCTCGGATAAAAAGCACACACATTAATAGCACACAATGGGGTGGAAACCTGTGGCACTTGCTGAACTATTACTCTCATAATCCCTGCCCATTGGGATTGGGACCATTGGTGGGATTTGGAGTCCAGAAATATCTGGAGGGCTACAGGTTCCCCGCCATCTCACATGACAGACATATAGTTTATATTCCTCACTAAGCATTAGGTTGCTCCAGAGCAAGATCATGGAGCTGTACAACTATGCTACAAGTTCCGAAGTGATGCCACAGTGGGTTTGCCAGCCTTCATGTCACATTTGCAGACATCTTTGGAACTCAGAGTTGGTCTGCCAACAGGCCGGGTGCCAGAAGCCAGCTCCCCATAGAGCACGTCCTTGGGGATCCTGCCACCTTCCATTCTGTGGATATGACCAAGCCAGTGTAGACATTGCTGAGACAGGAATGCCAACACGCTGGGAATGTGCGCTTAGGAGAGCACATATTTGTCTGGAATTCTGTCCTGCCGTTTGATACCCAAAATTAAATTTCTATCTAAATCATAATCATTCTTTCCAAATGTGCATCTATTAGCATGTGCAAATTTTACGGCAGTCTCTTTTTGTGTTTAAGCCAACGAAGTGCGCCATAATCCTCATGCCACAATAAAATGGGTTGACTTGAAGGTGTCCCAAGGCGCTTCACTGTGGCAGACTAATGTAGATAAGCAACCCTTCTAGCTGTTGCTGCTATTCCCATTAACTAGTGAACCCATGTATTAGTGTCAAGAGAGAGGAGGGAAAGAGAAAAATATCTCCATCCACTTTCTCCACCCAAAAGCAGAACCATTAAAAAGAGGTCACCATCCCATTGTTCTCTGGAACACTGACTGAGAACAGCGGCACCTGCTTACGCAGAACTCTGAGTTTCGATGTGCAGGAAGAGACGGAAGGGCAGAGGAGGGGAGGCAGCAAGAACTCCTTCCCACTGGGCAGGTTGTAAGAAGGACACCTTGGACATAATTAAGGAGCTCACACGGGCAAGCAAATCCCCAGGGAAGATCCCTCCACGAATTCAGGAGGGGAATTGGAAACAGAGGCAATTGTAGCCATGGGCTCCAAAAGCACTCCGCCCATCAGTGCTGCCAGGCAAACACAAAGCTATGCTCCTGTGTTATTTGTAGGATCAAAGCCAAGGAACAAGCAGTTCCTGGAGGCAGATTCCAAGATAATGACTCCAGCAGAAAAGTGAGCAGAGGCCTAAGCCACACACACACACAACCATCTTCCCGACAGGTGGATCCTCAAATAACTGAGGGAGCAGACTGGGTGAATATATACGTCAGCACTCAGCAAACTCAGGCCTACTGGGGCTGGGCCCTTGCCACAGCTTGGACAAGTCTAGCCTGAATAAAAATAAAAATAAATATTATTTCTACCCTATCTTTCCAGCTGGGTTTCCCCAGCCACTCTGGGTGGCTTACAGCATATACATAATACAAACATCAAGTGTTAAAAAACCTTCCGATACAGGGCTGCCTTCAGATGTCTTCTAAAAGTTGTGTAATTCTTTATCTGCTTGACATCTGAAGGGGTTGCATTGATCAGTGTAGGGCTTCCACCATGTTTTATCTCCTGCAATACATTGCTCAGCATCTAATGTTGCAGCCCAGGCATTGAATGGTGGGAGATTAAGTATGGCAGTTTCCCAGAGTCAATCAGCTGCTCAGTTTCCATCCCATTGCAACCTTGCCATGTAACCCCACCCAAAGGGAAGAGGGTGGCAGGCAGCTGTTGTACCAAGTGGCTACAAAAACCACTGGCAATGCCAGGGGTATGGCGGTAGGAACCCAGGGCACCCCTCAGTGCCACAGGCGGTCCATTCAAGCTTGGCACCAGCCCTGTGAGCCAGTGAGTGTATTGATAAGAGCAGGCTTCCTCAAACTCGGCCCTCCAGATGTTTTTGAGACTACAATTCCTATCATCCCTGACCACTGGTCCTGCTGGCCAGGGATCATGGGAGTTGTAGGCCAAAAACATCTGGAGGGCTGAGTTTGAGGTAGCCTGGATAAGAGTGTTGTACTAGGACATTCCCCACTTAGCCATGAAATTCGCTGGGTGATCTCAGGGGTTATCTTTTTTTCAGCCAAGCTTACCTGACAGGTTTCTTATAAGGCTAGAATGGAAAAATGTTCATGAATGCCACTGCATGTTCCTCTACAAAAGGGAAGGATATCAAATTTGATAGTTATTTTTTAAAAAATCATGCCAGGGACACGTCTATTATTTATTCTGATTCTGCGCTTCCTCCAGAGTGCTACAGTGGCATACTTGGTCCACATGCATTATCTTCCAAAGAGGCCTATGCGGGGGGGGGGGGGGTTGAATATGAGAGATAGTGAATGACCCAAGGCCATCCAGTAAGCTTTGCACCATTTCAACATGTGCGCAACATTTACAAGGTTCCAGATGAATTTTTATGAGTGTTTTGCACCTGGCACCCAGAGGCAGAAGGGGGGAACCAACTTGGGAGCCATATTGATGAACAAAAAAATAGCATGAAAGAGCAATGCCTCCCTAACAACGGCTCCTCTGTTCAAAATGGCAGGCTTCCGTGGCTGCTTCATGTGGATCAAGTACCATCTGTCTCCCATTCTGCCACTCTTAATGGCTCCCAGAATCTTGCACCTGAGGCAACCACCTCGCCTTTCCTCATTGAAAGGTTCCCTCAGGTTCCCTCATCCTCAGCTTCTCTCGCACACAGAGCACGATGGCACACAGCCCACTTGGACTTCCACAGTGACCTGGGTTTGTGTGTGCTGGTTGTGTAAAGGAACATGTCATCCTATATAAACTAGTTCCTTGATACTCAGGTTTGACTTGGCTCCAAATAACTGACTCATGGTCAGCTCTGAGTTGCTGACAATTCAGCCCAGCTGGGGGTTTGGCTCTAGGTTTTTCAAAACAACATCCTGGAACAACTGTCTCTCACCCCTAGAGGCAAGGACTGTGACGCAACAGGACTCACTCACAAAATGAAGCATGTGCTCTGCTCCTATTTATCAAAAGCAGTCTTGGTTTCTGGAAAATTTGTGTCTGCTATGCGTGTGTCCCTACTTTTGCCTTCCGGTGGTTCATTGCTAACATGTTGAGCAGAGGTGCTGAAGGTGTGACCTTCCAGATATTTGTTGGCCCTGCAGATGTTGCCGGACCGCAATTCCCATCCACCCTGACCCTTGGTGGACTGTCTGGAGCTGATGGGAGTTGGAGTCTGTTGTAAACAAAATCTGCCCTTTTCCCCTTATGGGGTATCCAAGAGCCTGTATAGAGTCCAAGAGCCTGTATAGAGTCCAATAGGTTCCCTATTGGTAGGAAAAAATAACATAGGCCAACCAGAGAATATTGAGGAGCAAAGCAGCTGGTAAGTCTGATCTTTATTGATCTGTTGCAACAGGGTGCTCCCCTCACACGCAGGAAAGGAGGAGGACCTCGAACAATGGCGCACAAGGCCTTATATAGACATTTTAAATTCCCTGCCCTGGAGCTCAAGACCACCCCTTCATACATCATGCATACATCACAGAAGGGGTGTAACCCAAGACCACCCCCCACAAACATCATACCTACATCACAGAAAAGGTGGTCTACAACAGAAATTTGAATGTTGTTGTTTTTCCTGTCTGCCAGCTTATCTGATAATGCCTTTTCTGATTGCCTTTCCTGGTAGCGTGTCACCCTTTGAGATGGTGATTTCCCAATTCCTGAAACAACAGGAAGGCTCCCTGACCCCCTCCCTGCTTGCAGAGAAAGCATTTGGTCAGTTTGGGAGTCAAAATGGTTTCAGCTCGCTCTTCCTGTGCTGATCTATGTACGTGCTTGGTTGGTACATTTATGAACATTTATTATATATATAAGACCTTAAATTTTATTATTACAAGTCCAACAATATGGGGGGGGGGCGCACAGCCTCCTCACTCTTGGTCTATAGCAATTAGCAAAAGGTTGGAGAAGCTGCGACTCTCCAGACTCTGTTGGACTCCAATTGCCATCAGCCCCAGTTAGCCCCCAAAAAAGAGTTTATTTTAGTTTTGCAAACCTTGGGATTTCCCTGAACATGCTGCTACCTCCCTCTTGTGCATGGATGGTACCAGTTTGGCCATTTAAACATCACCACTCAGACCTGAGCATCAGACATGGAGGGAGTAAGTGGGAGCTACAACAAAGCATTGCAGTGTTAGAATGCTCCTGTTCAGGACCACGGTCACACACACACACACACACACATGGTTCTCTGATATTTTCCTCCAGCAGTCAGTCAACATTCTGTGGTCACCAGGCATGTTCAGTCCTGATTGGACCATTACGGTATTTCTTCCCCAATCCAGTAAGTAACTCCCTCCCCCCCCCCAAAAAAAAAGTGTTTTGGGTTTGTTTGTTTTTTGTATGCTTACAAACTTCAGGATTCTTCCTAACCTGTGGGTGCCTCCCTCTTGCACTAAAGGCCCAGGGACAGACCCAACTGGTTTCTATTCTGGCCTGTTGTCAGAACTAAAAGTCCAGTGCAGACAAGTGGCAGAGGCAATAAAAGTAGATTTCCTGCACAATCTAAGCCAGGCATCAATTCTTGTCACACAGGGAACAGCTCTCAGGAGGCTACTGTACTTTCTTTTTCCATAACTGGCCTTGGCTTTCTACCAAAGCACCAGTTTACGGTTTAAAATAATGGTTTGCAGCCTTTAGAGATATTATGCAAAAGGGGGAAAAGGAGGAAAAAGAAGTGGATCTGGGAATATAGAAAGTTGCCTTATACCAAATCAGACCATTGGTCCATCTAACTCAGTGACTGGCATCAGCTCTCCAGGATTAGAGCGGGGGAGATATCCCCAGCCCTACCTGGAGATGGTGGGGATTGAGCCAGAGACCACTAGCATGCAAGGCGGATGCTTTGCCACTGAGCTATATCCCAGGAGGGGCAGGCAGCAGCAGACAGCCAACACTCTGAAGAGAACTGCCAAGCAATGTAGTCATAGCAGCTAAAGGTAAAGGTAAAGGGACCCCTGACCATTAGGTCCAGTCGTGACCAACTCTGGGGTTGCGGCGCTCATCTTGCTTTATTGGCCGAGGGAGCCGGCGTACAGCTTCCGGGTCATGTGGCCAGAGCAGTGCACGGAAACGCCGTTTACCTTCCCACCGGAGCGGTACCTATTTATCTACTTGCACTTTGACGTGCTTTCGAACTGCTAGGTTGGCAGGAGCAGGGACCAAGCAACGGGAGCTCACCCCGTCGCGGGGATTTGAACCGCAGACCTTCTGATCAGCAAGTCCTAGGCTCTGTGGTTTAACCCATAGTGCCACCCCGCGTCCCAGAGTCATAGCAGCTACTATC